ATATGGGCACGACATTTTAAATCTAACAACTGAGAGACATTTTTGTCGGACTGGACAGTATCAGCTGTGGTTTAATGAGGCCACACAGACGCTGCCCCTGTCAAAGGCTTCTGAGGGCTCATGTAGGAAGCACACGTTTGCACTGTCCGCTCTGCACATAGGCCGTGGTGGCTGCTCAGGGGGCAGGAAAGTTCTTTTCAAAGTCAAGTAGACTGGAGGCCACTTCAGTGCTGGTGGGGGAGCCACAGAGGTCCCTGAGGAGGTGGGACAGAGCAGGACGAACAGCACCTCAGGAAGAAGGGCAGGTGCAGAGGACAGGGGGCCGTGCAGGCGTGGAGCCACTGCAGCCCCTTCTCGTGTCTCTGGAGAGAGCTCCTGGCCGGGGCAGGGAGTGATCTGTCCCTCACCGCCGGAGCCATTCCCGGGCTCTGACCACTGGCTGTGCCATCAGAGGGTGCCGCTGTCGGGGGAGTGGGGTGTCCGGGAAGCTCTGGCCCCTCAGTACTGCTGGAGCCCGTGTCCGGTCTGTCCTCTCGCCTTCATGTCCCTGAACTGTCCCATCCCTGACCATTGGGCACAGCGGTAGCTATTTTGGAAGCCCAGGCCAGGAGTCTCCTTTAAAATGGCCAGTGTCACTCCTAGCATGGTCTCTGCCCAGCCCCGGCCACACTGTTTTCCTGCTGGAAGGACAAGGTCCTCACCGGGAATGAGTGTCCTCTCCCAAGGATGGCGGGGAGAGCAAGAGCCTGTGAGGTGGAGTCCAGGTCCGTCAGAGGCCCCAGCTCAGCCGACCCAGCCGAGAGGCGCTGTGAGTTCAGCCTCTCGTTGTCCAGCTGGGGACACCGAGGCCCAGGAGGGGAAGGCTTTGCCGGGGGCTCTGAGTCAGCGGAAGCAAGGCTCCCCCTTCCTGGCTCAGCACGGTGCACTTCACTTCCCCAGCCTTGGCCGCCTCGCAGGACAATGGGGACAGGGGCAGAGCAACCTCAGAGCCGGGAGGATTCCTCCTGTGCCCTGCCTCTGAAGTGGGTCATTTTAGGACAGACGGGCTCCGTAAGAACTCATGTTGCTCGCTGACACTCGGGGAGGGGCAGGGAGAGGCTGGTCTTCCCTGTGTGCCCGCAGACAGCGCGTCCCACTCGGGCCTGTGTTTGCTCCTTGTTCCACCAGCAGTGCAGACACTTAGCAGGGTGTGTGCTGTTGAACCAGATTCAACTGTTGACTCCACCTGCCAGGTGTGAACCGCTGGGCAAGTTAGCTTCTCTGGGGCCTCAGTTACCCCATCTGTAAATCGGGACAGTGTTCACAGAATATCTATAGGTCCGCTCTAGGGTTAAGAGAGTTAAACCTGACTGAGTAGTAAGCCAGTGAGTGTGGCCCATTCTGCTTTTGCAGAATCAGAAAGAGGGGAGTCTGACTTGCCACTGGGCTCCGTGCGCTCGTGAACAGCCTGTGACTTGACAGGAGAAAACGGAGGCCCCAGGAAGGGGGAGTGACACGGCTGGGATTCTCACGCCTATTGGCGAGCTCTCCCAGTTCTCAGCCACATGGAAGGGTGTGGAATCTTCTCGGCGTGCTGCTCTGCTCTCATAGATTGTTCTTAACCAGACAGGACCGACACGCCTGGCTCCTGGTGAGCCCTGGGTGGTGGAGGAGGGGGTGTTGAGAGTAGCTGGCTAGCGGGATATGCTTCTTAGGGTGCCAGGTGCTGGAGACAGCGGGGAACAAGGTGGACCCAGTCCTGCCCTCTCAGAGCTCAGAGTCCTGGGGTGACAGGTGATGAAGCAGTTTCACCATGGGGAGAGCAGTACTGCGGGGGCCCGTGGTGCCAGAGATGACTCGGGAGGGCACGGGAGGCTCCTGGAGGATGTGACCGCCGAGCTGAGACCTTCAGTGCAGGTGGAAGTGAGTCAGAGTTTGGCCCAGATCGTGCTGGTGCTGGGGCCCCAAGGAGCTGGACGGGCCTCAGAGAAGGTGCCGGTCCCCAGGGGAGGGGGAGGGAGGGAAGCCTTGGACCCAGAGGCCCTCAGGTCTGAGCGGTGCCCACCTCACCTTCCCCCCTTTCCCTCTAGATCGAGGCGCTGCCCCCGGAGCTCTTCCAGTGCCGGAAGCTGCGGGCCCTGCACCTGGGCAACAACGTGCTGCAGTCGCTGCCCTCGCGGGTGGGCGAGCTGACCAACCTGACCCAGATCGAGCTGCGGGGCAACCGGCTGGAGTGCCTGCCCGTGGAGCTGGGCGAGTGCCCGCTGCTCAAGCGCAGTGGCCTGGTGGTGGAGGAGGACCTGTTCAACACGTTGCCGCCCGAGGTGAAGGAGCGGCTGTGGAGGGCCGACAAGGAGCAGGCCTGACCGAGGCGGACACCGAGCGC